TCATCAGGCTGGGCCAAGTGTGATGGAAGGAATAAAAGACCTCTTCTTAGGAAGAAGTATAAATTATTGTGGCCAATTTTGCCATCAAACACAGCAAGGATGAGCAAAATAGGCATTCTCTTTCACTGTTGAGAGGATCGTAAACTTAAAATTATTCATGTGAAAAGTTTGCCAGTATCTACAAAAAGCCTTAAAAATCTCCATACCTTTTGATCCATGTTTAAGAATATATTTGAAGGAATTGATGTGAAGAGTGTGTAAAGCGGTGTGTATCAGAATGTTCATCACATCACTGTTTAAATAGCAAACCATTCGGGAAATGTTAACTATCCAACAAAAAGGGATTGCTTATAATGATTATAAACCATTTATAGAACAGAGTATTATGCAGCCATTTAAAATGATGACTTGTGAAGATGACTTTATATTCACTGACATGTAAAGACTTAAGTGAAGAAAGCAGGATACAAAAAGCATGTTTATTATAATCCTGCTTTTCAGTGTCACCTATTTTACATCTTTCTGTATCGTACAAGTTTTTGTTTTGTTTTCATTCTGCTTTGACTTTGGTGTTTGGTTGGTATTTTTATTTTCATTTAAATTAACATACAGTAAAATTGGATTTTCTGGTGTGGAGTTCTATGAGTTTTAACACATGCACAGATTCACGTCACCACCACCACGATCAGAATACAGGGAAGTTCTGTCACCCCAAAAAGTCTCTCGTGCAGACTCTTTGTAGTCACATCCTCCCATCATTCATTCCTAAGAGAATTGTTGAGAAGTACAGCTTGATATGGATGTACCTCAAAGTGTTTATCCATTCACCCATCGAAGGACATTTAGGTTGTTTCCAGTTTGGGGTGATTATGAATAGAACTTCTATAAACATTTGTGTATATGTCTTTGTGTGAACATGAGTTTTCATTTCTCTGGGATAAAAGCCCAAAAGTGTAATTGTTGAGTCATATGTTAAGTACATGTTTTGTTTTATAAGAAACTGCCAAACTGCGGTATCATTTTACAATCCCACCTGCATATACTTGTCAGCATATAGTATTGCCACTATGTTTTTTATTATTGGTCTTCTAATAGGAGTGATATCTCATTCTGCTTTCAATTTGCATTTTCCTAATGGCTAATCATGTTGAACAACAACAAGATGTTGAACATCTTATTTGGTGATATATCTATTCTTTTACCCATTTTCTAATCGGATTGTCCTTGCACTTTTGTAAAAAATCAATTTGCCATATTTGCGTGGGTCTATTTCTTAATGCTGTTATGTTCCATTGAGCTATATATCTATCCCTTTGCCAATATCACACTGTTGTGATTACTCTAGCTTTTTTTTTTTTTTTTTTTTGCGGTACGCGGGCCTCTCAATGTTGTGGCCTCTCCCGTTGCGGAGCACAGGCTCCGGACATGCAGGCTCAGCGGCCATGGCTCACGGGCCCAGCCGCTCCGCGGCATGTGGGATCTTCCTGGACCAGGGCACAAACCCATGTCGCCTGCATTGGCAGGCGGACTGTCAACCACCACGCCACCAGGGAAGCCCTGCTCTAGCTTTATAGTACATCTTTTATTCCTTTTAAGTGATTTTAATTAATTTATTTATTTTGGGCTGCATTGGGTCTTCATTGCTGCGCACCGGCTTTCGCTAGCTGCAGCAAGCAGGGGCTACTCTTCGTTGTGGCGCGCAGGCTTCTCATTGCAGTGGCTTCTCTTGTTGCAGAGCACGGGCTCTAGGCGTGCGGGCTTCAGTAGTTGTGGCACGTGGGCTCAGTAGTTGTGGCTCGTGGGCTCCAGAGAACAGGCTCAGCAGTTGTGGCGCACGGGCTTAGTTGCTCCGTGGCGTGTGGGATCTTCCCGGACCAGGGATCAAACCCATGTCCCCTGCATCGGCAGGCAGATTCTCATCCACTTTGCCACCAGGGAAGTCCTATAGTACATTTTAAAATCAGCTGGAGTCCTCTTAATTTTTTTTCAAAATTAGTTTGGTTATTCTAGTTGCTGTACCTTTCCATCTAAATTTTAGAATCATCTTGCCTATATCTACCATCTATAAAATTCCTCCAAGGAGTTTGATTGAAATTGCATTAAATCTATAGATAAATTTAGGGAGAATTGCCAACTTGACAATATTGAGACTTCCAGTTCAGAACATGATATGTTTCCCCACTTATTTAAGTCTCTTTTAATTTGTGTGATCATATTCTTTAGCTTTCAGCCTAGAGTTCCTGCACTTTGTTTTAGATTTATACTTATTTCATTTTTAGAGATATGAAAAATAGTAATTTTAAATTCAATTTATAATCATTTATTGCCAATACAAATATAATTGATTTTGGGGTGCTGACCTTGTATTCTGTGACCATGCTAAACTTACTTTTTAGTTCTAGGAAATCCTTTTGTAGATTATTTGGGATTTTTCTTTGTAGACAGACATGTCATCTGTGAATAGAAGACTTTTATTTCTTCCTTTCTGATCTATATGACTTTTATTTCTTTCTCTTGTCCTATTTCACTGAGTAGGACTTTCAGTACAATGTTTATTAGGAACAGTAAGAGTGGCCATCCATGCCTTATTCCCAATCCTAGGGGGAGAGCATTCCAGTTTTCACTATTAAATATGCTCTTAGCTCCGAGTTTTTGGTAGATGCCCTTTTTTCAGATTAAGAAGTTCCCTTCTATTCCTAGCTTCTTGGGAGGTTTTGTTGAATGGATGTTACATTTTGTCAAATGCTTTTTCTGCATCAGTTGATATGATCATGTGGGTTTTCTTCTTTTAGCCTGCTAATATGGTGAATTACATTCATTGATTTTCAAATATTGAATTAGCCTTGCATTCCCAAAGTAAACCACACTTGGTTGTGGTATGTTGTTCTTTTACTATATTGCTGGATTTTATTATCCTAATATTTTGTTGAGGATTTTTATGTTTATGTCCATAAGGGATATTGGTCTGTAATATTCTTTTCTTATATGGCCTTTGTCTGGTTTTGGTATCATAAAAGGATATAAATTATTCGATACTCTTCTGTTTTCTGAAGGATGTTGTGAAAAATTGTCATTGGTGTTATTTCTTTGTAAATTTTGTTAGAACTTGCCAGTGAAACCATCTGGGCCTGGTTTTTGTTTGCTTGTTTGTTTCTGGAAAATTTTGAACTACAAATTTAGTTTTAAAAATACATATAGGAAAATTCAGGTTATCTACTCATTGGGTGAGTTTTGGTAGTTTGTAACTTTCAAGGAATTGGTTCACTTCATTTTAGTTGCAGAATTTCTCTTCATAGAGTTATGTGTACTATTCCCTCATTATTATTTTAATATATACGGGGTCTGTAGTGAATCACTCATTTCATTCCTGATATTGGTGTCTTGATTCCTGATTTGTGTCTTACCTCTTTTTTATTTGGTCACTCTGGTTAGAGTTTTATCTATTTTACTGATCTTTTCAAAGAACCAGCTCTTGGTTTTGTTGATTATTCTATCATTATTTCTTCAAATATTTTTTTTCTGCACCACACTTTCTCCTCTCTTTCTGGGATCTCAGTGACATGAACATTAGATCTTCAGGCATTGTCACACAAGTTCCTGAGGCTCTGTTCACTGTTTCTCTCTGTTTTTCCTTAATAATTCCTATTGATCTAAGTTCAAGTTCACTGACTCTTTCCTTTGTCATCTCTATTTTGCTATTGAACATATCCAGATAATTTTTTAAACAACTATAGTTTTCAGTTCTAGAATTTTTATTTCTTTCTTCTTATGTCTTCTACATTTTTCTGATACTTTGTATCTTTCCATTTATTTAAACTATTTACCCTCACTTTTTAGAACATGGTTATCATGGCTCTTTCAAAGTCTTTGTCTGATAATTCCAAAATCTGTGTCATCATGGGGTTAGCGTCTGTTGATTTTCTTTTCCTTTTTAAGTTGATATTTTCTAGGGTTTCTCTATACTGAGTAATTTGGGATTGTAGCCTTTGCAATGCTATACAGATCTGCCCTGCACATACACCACCCAGCAGCCAGTCTGGGCATTGGTCTACCCCCTAGTTCAGTTCTCAAAGACTGTGATATGATGCTTAGGATGAGATCAAAGCATGCACAACATGAGTGAGGTCCATCCATGAAGAGGTGACCACAGGAGTTCCTCCATAACTTTATGGAATTGCTTTCTTGAGCTCCCTCCTCTTTATGACCCACTTCCCAGTCCTCTGGCCCCAAAACTGGGGTTTTAGTTTCCCCACTCTTCTGGGTAGTTCTCACAATTCTGCCTGCATCTGGAACCAATCAGCAGAGAACAAAGAGAGAAAAAAAATCAGTGAGTATTTTCTCCCACACTCTTGGGAATCATAGCTTCACTGGTACCTCCTCTCAAAGTCTTAGGTGCCTGCCGGGCCACCAAACTCACTGCTGCACTGATACCAGCAGAACTCCCCTGGGGGCTGAGTCAGGAGATAATGGAAAAAAGGGGTAAAAAAACAACAAGGGATTTCCCCCACTCTGACTCTTAGATTTTCCTTTTCTCACTCCACAGGCCAAAAGAAAGGGCTTCTCTCAGAGCACTTTTTCTCTGCATCCGTTGTGCACTGCTGGGTTTGGGGCTGCCTTTGAGTCCAGTCTAGGTAATACCATTGGGGGTAGGGAATGGTCAACTCTGCCAATTTGATGATGCTTTAAATTCTAATCTTCTTTCCCAATTTGCCTATCGTTTACTTTGCGGAGTCCTCAAGGAGTTAGCCCATGCGTTCTTTCCAATGCCTACACTTGCATTCGGTGGGAGAGACAAGGTAGAATTTGTTTACTCCATCTTGCCCAGATCTGGAAACTGTCTGCTTATTTCTTGTTTTCTGGTTTTGTAAACAAAAATTATTTGCATGTTCAAAAGAAAGCTCTAAAACCATTGTGTTTTATTGATCAAACATCTGTCATGAGACATTGCACCCTTTCCTGGCAGCGTCTGGCTGAGAATATCACCCCCTATTCCTCTGCAGGGACACAGCTGACTGTGGAGGTCCACCCTCAGGATGCCATGCCCCAGCTGCTCAAGAAGTTCTCCTTGGCTAAACGTACGTACGTACAGGGCTACTCATGTGTGAAGGACTGGCAGGGAGGATTGAGGGTAGCTGGAAGGGCCAGAGCCCAGCCTGGGCACCTTCTTGGGGAAGGAGAGGAGTGACCTGGGCCTACATGCTGGGAAGAGGCAGAGACACGACAGCTTCATCCTGGACACTCTCTTCTCCACACTCAACAACCCCTGTTCTTAAGTCTCTGCCATTAGGTGTGGGTAACACAAGGCATTTAGCTAAAGATGAATTTCATCACAAGAGTGCTGTTGTTTTTAGACACCATTTATTGACTGCCTAAAAAGTGGCATGCACAGTGCTAAGCACTGTACACTCAATAAGTTTTTAACTCTTTGATATGCACCAGTATTATCCTCACCTTTTAGATCAGCAAAGGCTCAGAGAGGTGAAATAACTGCCAGTCACCCAGTTAGGAAGCAAATCAGAACCCAGGTCCTAATGAAGCCTGTACCCTTAACCACCGTACCTGGCTGCCTTCTATGCTGTGCGCACAGGCCCAGACCCACGCCCACGATGTCTCCTCTGCTCCCTTCTTGGTCCTCTCCCTGCATCTGTCCATCCTGTGGGTAAACAGGGGCCTGGGGAAATGCCGGCCAAGGAACGGAGGCTGCAGAACAGCCAAGGCTGAGGTTCATGAAGTGAAACTTCACGTCCGCTTGTGGCGGGGGCCGAGGCAGCTCCTCCAAGGCTGCCTGGTCCTGCAGCCCTCAGCAGCCAGGGCCTCGGGAGGGCAGGCAGGTGTAGAGAGGTCAGGCCCTGGGAGTTGACTGGCTGGGTTCAGATTCCAGCTGTGTGGCCTCAGGCAAGTGGCTTAACCTCTCTTTTGGACTCAATTTCCTCATGTATAAAAGGAGGAAAATAATTCAACATCCCTCATAGGATTTTCATGAGCTTAAATGAGATAGTCAATAACGCACAAGCCAGGTGTAGTAAGTACACAAAAAATCTGGCTACTCTTTTGAACCCCCATCACTCTACCAAAGAATGTAGGTGGAAACAAAATGTGGGTGTAAGAAAGACAAGGCCCACTGTTTCTCAGATTGGCCTATGTACATTTTCAACCTTCTCTACATTTGAAGGCCTACAGTGGCCTTCAAGGGCAGAGAAAATCTTGCCTTGGCTTCCCCACCTCTGGCTCCTCCTGGTTCCAACAGGGACCCACATCTTCCTGACCTGGCTTCAGATCAGCAG